AAAGTGTCAGCATGGTTGTACGAAATGATCTCACCATCTCAGGATAACAACAGATGTTTTCTTACAGTAATGGGATATTTTTCTGCTCATCTTAAGAAAACAAAAAACACATTTTCTTAAATTAATTAGAAAATTAGCTCAGGATCACTTATTTTCTTTTGTACAGATTACAAGAAAATGAGCCCATTATCAAGAAAAACTAGATTGTCATTTCAAGATAACAACATAATTAACTTGTGATGACTGGACAACCATCACAACCTCAGGTTTGTTTAATGTCTAAATGTTTTTTTGTTTTTTTTTTACAGATTTGCTTTCTTTTTTACTCACCTGCAGCATAATGAAAGTGTTCTCTAGTCAGCAGATTATGCAGGTACTGATTCCCACTTGATTTCATTGTACAATGAAGAGGATGTATGACATTTAAACTTTAATAGATAGTGAACAACTCCCTTAGAGAGATGAAATATGTTATAACACCAGAGGTAGCTTTGAGAAGCTTAATGACTGGATATGGTTTCAGTTCATAGCTCACAACAGGAGTATAGATTAGTCTGGAGAATTTTATCCCACTGGGTCAGGTTACATATTTTCACTGTGTGTAGTCTTTACACCACAGGTTTTTAAAAATATAGGCACATGTATATTTAACAGAAAAGGAAAGAATAAATACTTTTCATTTCATCTTTGTAAAGAGCAAACCACAAATACAAAGTCAGAGACAGTTAATACAAAAAGTAACATTTCTTAGTCATTGAAATTAAAACCTTATTAGTGGCAAGTGTGTTTGGTGCTATTTCTATGACAACAATGTACGGAACTGGAATGATCTGTATTTACATGTACAGTTAAGCCCAGGTTTTGATTTCTAGTGAATTTTTTATTTGACCCATCGGTTTCTTTTGGTAGGAAATGACATAAACAAGTAAATATGTCATAAAAAAGTGACTCTTTATTTGTCACCAGGGCAACGTTCTTTATAACTGCTAAACCGATTTTTGCACTGGGATTTTGTTCCACTCCTCTATTGTAAGATTCTCCAGGTATTTCAGGCTTCCTTGCCATCACTGTGGTCTATTGCTCCCTCCACAGATACTCAGTGGGATTCAGGTCCAGCTCCAAAATGTTGACATCATTTTCTTTAAACCGTTTCTTGGCTGTTCTTCGCTGTACATTGGAGACCATTGTCTTGTTGAAAGATTCAGTGCTGCACAGGTTCAAGTTTTTCTGCAGACTGTCTGATGTTTTCCTCCAGAGCCTTAACATTGTCCTCTTTTCTCATGAAGCAATTAACTTTGACAAGGTTGCCCAGTGCATTGGCTTAAAAACAATCCCAAAGCATTACATTCCGATGCTTGACCGTGGGGACGGTGTCCTTGGGCTTGTCTGCTTCGCCAAACAAAACTCACATTCCTGTGTCTAAACAACTCCATTTAAGTCTCTTCAAACCACAGATTTGATGACCAAAAAGGTTTTTCTTTGTCCAGGTGAGCCTTAGTCGATGTCTACGAGACCAGCCTTGTGCAGTGTCCACTAGAATGTCAGGTATCCACATTTGTAGGTGTCAGAATGGCTGAGATTTATCAGGATGGCCTTGGTGGTGATCCTTGGATTGTTCTTGGCCTTCTTTGTACCAGTCTTGCCCGCACAGGTGTTACTTTCAGACACCACACCCTTTGAGATCTATCACAGTCTGGAACTCCTTGTGTTTTTTGACCAGCACTTGAAAACACGCGTTATATTTATGATGTGCCTTTAAAGCCTTTCCAGTCTTGTGAGCAGCCATAATGCACAACTCACTTTGGTTTTTGCTATGACTTGCAATTGACTTCAAAAGAACTGCAGCATCAGCTGTTTGGAATTTGGAGTGTATTAGAATGCTCTAAAACGTGGTAGAAATGTAAAAATAAAAAAAAACAACAACATTAAAATCGTTATAATTCATCATTAACATCACTTTTCATCTTATTTATGTCATTTCCAGCCACAGGAAACCTACTGGTCCAATAAAGATTAATTATAATTCAAAATACAGCATAGGATTGAATGATTTGAAACAATTTTAAGTGTAAATGAGTCACTTTGATGCTTCTCAAAACATTTCCTACAAAGATGAACAAAATCACAACGGTTTTACACATAACATAAAATAAATCACTGCTAATGACAAAATAGGTTCCTGTAATATATATTAAGTTACAAGTTAGAGGGACGAAAGGATTTTATCTTTAAATTAGAATCTTTATCAACAATGGAACCAGAATACTAGCTAGTAACTGGCTGCAGAGTAACTATAGCGGTATATGCACTGATCAGCCACAACATTAAAACCACTGAAATGTGTGACGTTAATCAATATTCTTTTGGGAAACCTTGCATCCCGGCATTACCGCAGCGGCTGCTTGGACACATACCACCCATGTAAATATTGTTCCGACCAAACACCGCAAAAACTGCTGAGGAATGGATCGAGCCCAAGGGTGTTGGCTCAGTTTCCACATTTCACACCTTTTAATCCGATCAAGCATCCGCAGGATATGCTGGAACAAGTCAGATCCGTGAAGGCCCCACCCCACAACCCACAGAACCTGAGCTGTTGAAGCGCCAGTCTCAGACACCACAGGACACCTTCAGAACCTTTGAGCTATGACCTACATAGTATTAGGTAGGCGGTTTTAACATGATGGTTGATCCGTGCCACCACCAGCAGTCGACTCTGAGCAATACAGTTCCATAAGATTGTGTACTCAACCTATAATTCCATATCTATTCCCTTTATATTACCCTATTATATGTGTTGATATATTAAGATATAGAAATATAGGCTTTATAAATGTACACAGAACTCATACATACATACTATACATACTATACAAAGTGAGGAGGCCACTGTTTGTTCAACGGGTCTATGTGAGTCTCTCTCCTTTATGTCAGATCATCATGATCTTTGTCAGATTCTTGGGCAAAAGTTTAGACCCTGGAGGTTCAAACAAAACCATAAAACACTGTGGATATTTATAACATCAAAAATGTTCTATGTCCCTTATATAAAAATATCTTTTTGTAAGTATACAAGATGATTGTGCATTGATTCCGGTGATACATTCATAATTAGGTTTTCTATTAAGACACACATTCTTTCATACTCTTTCCCATTCTCCCTGCGTATGTTCTACATTCCCCATTGAATCTATAAATACAGAAACATCTGAATTTCCAGTTTAAGCTTTTAGAGCCCAATGCAAAGACTGTGCCAAGTGCTTTGTCTTAAAATCGCCTCCTCATATTTAATTCCCTTTTCATGGAAATGCTCTTAGTGCGCCCTAACCACAAACAAACCAGCAGGCACTAACGAGTACTTGTACATTTACTGGTTTCATTGTCTCTTTTTGTTTTTTGGAGTGGACCGCTTAATTAAATAAAGAGGTTGGTTTGGTGACACAATGAAGCCAACAAAAAAAAAAAGTCTAAATTATACATGACAGCTACTTCTACGACTGTTAAAAAACCTTAAACTTAGCAAATGTTTCAATATGACAAAAAGGCAACTGGTGTTTGCCTATCGTCAGTCAAAGGAAAGGATTCAATTGCTGACTAGTGGGAGAGCACAAGGCCCCAGAAATAAGGAACACAATCATTGTTCGACTATGAAGCACTGCATGTGATGCTGTTCTGTTAGTAGCATGGCTTCATGGAATTTGATACGATGAAATCACAGTATGTTTAGCCCTTGGGTAATATGGTGATGTCAGGTTTTTTTCTACAACCCACAGAAATCTTTCACTTAAAGGACAAAGCTGGTGTTATTTTCTATTTTTAATGTGTTTAATGAACCCATGACAAGACTTAAACCCACAAGATGTGTCAGTAGCACTCAAGATATCCATGTATCAGAAATACAGCCGGGCACTGTAGTTTTTATCAAACAGGAGTAAAAAGTGCTTTTGGAGGAGATATTTTTTTGCTTGGGCTGCTCGGTGGCTCGTGGTTAGCACCGTCGCCTTGCTAGAAGATCCCCGGTTCACATCCCGGTGAGGACACCTGGGATCTTTCTGAGAGGAGTTTGCATGTTCTCTCCGTGCAGCGTGGGTTCTGTCTGGGTTCTCCAGCTTCCTCCCACAGTCCAAAAACATGTTGAGGTTAATTGGTGATTCTAAATTGTCCGTAGGTGTGAATGTGAGTGTGATTGGTTGTCTGTCTCTAAGTGTAGCCCTGTGATAGACTGGTGACCTGTCCAGGGTGTCCCCTGTCTTCACCCTGAGGCCTCGTCCACACGTAGCAGGGTATCTCACAAAACGAAGATATTTTTCTATGATTTTCCTGTCATCCACACGAAAACGCAGATTTATGGCATTAAAAACGATTCTTTCAAACACCTCAGACTAAAGTGAAGATTTGCGAATCCTCCGTTTATGCGTCTGCATGTGGACATCAATAACCGGGGTTTCAGGTTTCGAAACGTCACTGCCTGCGACAAAATTTGTTCTTACATCATACATGCGACCTGTGTTTACATTTGGAAACAGCGTGGATACCCTCAGAACTGTGTTAGCGTTGTCTCTGGTCCAGGCCCAGATACCGCTCCACAAACAAGAACACAGGAGAAGGACGACGTTAAGGACGGTTGTTTTCCGCCACCTTGCCATTCCATGTCTGAGGCATGTTCTCCATCAAAGACACCGATGCTGGTTTTGGGTCAGACCGGGACGCACTGCCAGCTTGTGGGAGAACTTTGAGACAGAAATCGTGCTCCCGGAGGAATGGCGGGACAACTTCCAAATGTCCCGGGCGTTGCTCCTGTCGTCTGAGTTATTAGATCCTCACGTAGAATATGAATGTGCTTAAAAACGCACTTATTTAGGTGTTAGGTGTGGATGAATTTTTTTCTAAAAACAAGGTGGTATGTACATACATTTTTTTTCTAGATGAAGGGGGCAGGATATTCGGTTTTACAAAAACCCTGCTACGTGTGGACAAGGCCTGAGTCAGCTGGGATGGGCTCCATCCCCCCCTTAAAAAAAAACTACAGTGCCCATGTTCATGACACGATGATGGAACATATCACCTATTGCAATAATGTGGCTCATTAATTTGCCAATTTTGTTATTATTATTATTATTATTGTTGTTGTTGTTGTTGTTGTTAGTATTATATAACAATGGAGCTCTGTGCCTGAAGGGAGGTTCAAGTTTAGACTTGACAATCAAAACCAGTTAATAACAATTCATTGTTTGTGTTTGGTCTTTGGAAAAGTAAAGAATGTCGCCACCCTTACCCGTTAACATTTATGCAATCCACCGCTCAAAACCGTTAATTACATCAGTTAAAGCTGTCGCAAAGGATGCACGGGGTCAGTGTTATTACAATTAAAATGTTTACGGCTGAAAGACCTAACATGAACTCGATATGCAAATTGAATGCGTCTGTAAATAATTGCACGAACTAAAGCTCAGTTTATCCCCCATAACGCAAGTGGCCAAAAGCTGTTTGTGGGATCGAGTATTTTTAATGGCAAGCTATCACAAGATCGTGCCTTGCTCCCATTTTCCATGGCTCCTCCCAGCACTTTTTGCTTTCTCTCATTTTCCATCTTTGTTGTTCTTAATAATTTGATACAAGCTTATCTTATTGGTTTGAAAGATTGATTCAAGTATGGTCCACAACATCAGGAAAGAATACAAAGGGTTGGTTTGATCAGCTTTGACAAATGCTCCTCACAGGAGGGAATAAGAGGGGGATAGCCTCCAGGGATCTGTATCAAATTTTCTGAAGAGCTCTTGAAACCACTTTGCCTGATGGAACTTGCTCCAAGACCTGTGATGCAGAGGAATGTCGGCAGCGTTTGGCTCCAAAGTTCTTTTCTTGACTGTATGTATCTGGGGAGGCAAGATGCCAAACGGAGAGCGAAAGGGGGCCAAAGAGGAGGGAAGGGTCCATTCACCCAAGAACCAGAACAGACGATGGAGAGGAGTCAAACTGTCATCCGAGGCTGGGGTTCCTGTGGAGACTCTTGATTGACGGACCCTGTAAGAGGCTTTTAGAGAAAACATTTTCACATTAAATTAGTAAAAATAAAGGTTTAATCCTGCAATGTAATATTGAACTTCCATAAAGCTGGGGTGACTCACAAGAAACAGATTTTTTTTAAAAAGAATGATCAGCATCAAAGCATCAGATCGTGCTTCAACATGGCACTTACTCACAGAAATGTGTCTGAAAGGACAGTAACAAAGACAGCTGGCGGATTTATTTACCCTAGAGCCAGCCATGATTTTGCCTTGTTATTTTTTTCACACATTGCCCTGTCTAATCTGATTAATGGTTCATTTTTTAGGACAAGTATTCCACTGAAGACAAGGGGCGTGTCTTCCCTCAGGTGTCAATAACAGACGGGTAACAAATTGAAGGAAAACCTGACCTGTTGTTCTCTACAGTGAAGGGAAACAGTAGCTCTGTTATGCTGTCGGGAACATTTTCCTGCCATGTTTTCGGTCCACTTATCCCCGTAGACCGGGGGGTCACTGCAAATCAATACAGGTGTTTTGAGCCATCACTTTTATCTTATGGTGAAACATTTACAAATGTTATATTATTATTATATTATAATTATTATATTATTGAATTTCCCTTCTTAGATTGAATTTCCCTTCTGGGATAAATA